GAGACGAAGGTGCCGAGAAATTAAAATTGGCATATGCATAACAAAAAGATTGAGCAATTTCCCTTTACGTGGAGTTAACAGTCATCGATTATAAGGTTCGCTCTCCGGAAAAGGTTACTCAATTTATACCAATTAGTTTATGCAATGTTGTGTATAAGGTTATTTCAAAAATGATTTCTGCGTGATTGAAGATAATTCTATCAGATATTGTCAGCCCAACTTACAGTGCCTTTGTTCCTGGGAGAATGACAACAAATAATATTTTAGTGGCATATGAAGGTTTCTACGCAATAAAAAATAAAAGAGCATCTAAGGAGAGTTTCCCTGCCATCAAACTAGACACGCATAAAGCTTATGACTGAGTGAAATGGTCTTTTTAAAAAGAAATTTTGTTGGAATCGGGTTTCAAAGAGAATTGGGCGAAATTGATTATGCAATGTGCCACCATGCTACTCAGTCCTCACCGTGCTGGCCTAGAGCAACTCGCCAAATCCTCCGCGAGCTGGCTTGGAGCGGTGAGTTGCTGAACCACGCGCCGGCTTGGGACGGCAACTTGCTCCCTCTGGCTAGGCGATGGAGGTGGAGCGGTGAGCTGCCTCGCTCGTATCTGTCGGGATCGACGGGCCACCCAACTTGATTTTTATGCCAGGAACTGCTCTTCCTGCTCGTCGGATACCATCGAAAGAGTGGAGAAAATGGGGGAAGGAGGAGATGGGGGAGTGGCAGAGTAGTGCGATCGATCCTTTCCTAGCATCTGGCCTCATTTCAATAGAGGGTGGGCGGGAAGCAGCTTATGCGGCGTTGTGTTTAATGTCGGCTTCCTCGTGAACGGACATGTGATTGGAGCAGGTTTCTTGGCTTCCACGTGGGTTTAATGAGGCCATTTGAATGTGGTGAGGAGGCGTGTTCAGCCGAACATGTAGCGGGCGGTGCCCTCGGCCAGCGTGCCGATTTAATGGTGGGGATAGCAAGAGGTCGCATCCGCCCTAAGCCGCCTTCAATATGGAGTGGTGCGCTCTACAGCGGAATGAATGCGAGCAGCTGGGGCCAAGCGGGAAGTGCGCGTGGGAGGGGAGGGGATTTGGGTGGACCAGGGCGATCAAAAGATGGCTTGAGAGCGGTCCAGACTCCCGTAAACCTCCCCATATTTGTCTCAGTCTGACGGGAGAAAACACATCCGGACCGTGCCACGGACCGATATAGACCCGCGTTGGATGGCTTCCACGGTCCAGACAACGTGTTTCGCGAATACGAAATGTTTTATGGTTGGCGTTGGGGACGCCCTTGGTCCCCTGTTCCCCATATATATTCGGTTTTGCAGTAGTAAGAGCAATTTCCTTGTCAGAATCACAAGATGGTACCGTAAGCTCTTTCACTAATACAGTAATGTGCATATGGGAGCTTATTAGAGAGGATGCTGCAGTTGGGCAACTAACCCATTTACTACTAGCGTAGAAACTCAGTATTCATCATCTAACTTTTTGATCAAAAGGGGTTTCCCCCTCTCCATTTCATTAAAAAACGGGGCACAACATCCAGGTAACAATTAAAAGCTATCAGACCTAGCCAGAGTAGCAGGCTAGATTAGATAAACTGCTAGGACAGCTAAAACAGTCATCAGTTCACAATCCCACCAGAGCTAGCTCAGGAGAGAAGAAGAACTAGTCTATTACATGAATTTAGTCCTCTCGCAGGAGGCATCACCACAAGTGCGCTTTGAGCATGAAGCCAACTAGTCCTCCCTTCGCGCAAGCCCTAGTCTTCCCTGCCACGCAATGCGCAGCAGCTTGCCTCTTCGCTGGTCCAGTAGCAGGAGACAGCGCCGTAGTAAGGCCGATTGATCCCCCACACACAGGATCTTCCATTGATGCAATAGTGCACAAACTCTCCCCAAGATCACCTGAATACTTGTCCACGGCACGCTCTCGAAACAAACATCATTACGCATGGTCCAGATGCTCCAAATGGTAGCAACAGTCTTTTTATTATTAGCACTGCACAGATCAGATTGCTCTAGCATACATTGTGGATAGTTAAAATCAAAGGATTCAGCAACATCTTTCCAAATCTCTTCTGCAACCACACAATCAAAGAACAAATGGTGTTCCCCGCAAAAAAAAAAAAGAACAAATGGTGTACTGCTGCATTTTCACAGCAAAATAAACATGTCTTATCGTTCACATAGGGATGTAAATGGCAAATAAATGGTGTCCGCAACTCCCATTTAGTTAGCTTTATCTAGCTCCATAGTTCATTTTTCTGAAAAAGAAAACAAAATTTTTAGACTGTTAGATTATATATATAGTGGGTTTAAACGGGATTAAACGGGACCTGTTGACGAGGCGTGCTTCGGTACAACACCTCCCCCCCCTAAAAAAGTATAAAAGGGTATTTTCGTCCTTATACTAATTAAAATTAGTTGCCTAATACGCCGGTTACGTCCCTATTATCTCGGCAAAAAGTTCATCACCCCCAATCCAGCCTTGCAACGGCCGGCCGGCGCCATCTTCGCACCAACGGAAATCATCGGGTCCAAGAAGCCCATGGCCCGAAAAAAGAAGCCCATGGCCGAACTGTCACTGGTCTTCGTCATCCTTACCATCTTCCTGTCGGTACATGTCCTCGGTGTACACGCGTCGCCGGCTGCAATATGGACGTTACGCGCCAAATTAAGGCCATGAACTCGTGGATCGTGGTTGTGTTCACGGGGTTGTCCACGTTCTTGAGCTGCGGGTATATATGAACGCCATTGGACATCCCGTTACAGCTGCTGCTCTTGCTACCCAGGATCTGGATGCGGGGCGTTGTGCCCCCATTGTTGGCCGCGTGTGGGAGAAGTAATACGTGTGAGAGGGATAGGGAGTACAGAGGATATTTACATCTTTTTCTTAATGCCCATCATGTCCTTAATTATGAAGAGATATGGACCAATCTTGACCGTTGATGTGTCCACAGGACGTCTTTTGGCCAGATTATCTCTAGTGAGGATCTAATTATGGAAAGCATGCCACACAAACACTATGTATCTGTGTGGAACCAAGATTTTTCAAAAGTTTCTTCCACAGAGGGGTAGAAACTCCACCCCAATTAATCATATCATAGTAAGATTTCATGGAATAAACCCCAGATGCCTGCAGCGTCCAAATGGGGTGATCCTCCTCATTATTTGGTACATTAGTCGAGAGCTCCTCGCCAGACCAGCGGATTAGGGGTGTTTCTACGAGACACAAGGTTGGCAGGTGAAGAAATCGCTTAGCCAGCAGCGAAGGAGATGGCCGCAGGCGGGCATGGCTGATAGCGGTATGGAAGCGCGCCGGGGGAATCGCTCGCCGACAGCGGGCCGCCGCTTACTAGGGTACAAACAGAAAAAAATGGAGGAGATGTTTTCCTCTTGGATAAGGCAGAGTTTGGCTTTTGGATGAGATGTGTCGGGCTCCACTGCAAACGCAGTGGTAAATATGGCTGAAAATAGCAAACAGGCCATGGTAACGATACAATTACGGGCCGTGCTCCGGAGAGAACTGCACGCCGTGTCTCGTATTAAACACACATGGATTCAAAATAAATAAATAAACAGACATAACTATGTCATCTTGCTTGCCTAAAAAAAACTATGTCCTATTCTCTAAATAAAAACTATGTCATCTTCTAAATAAACCATAACTGTGTCAAAGCCGATCCTCAAAGAAACATCTGTGTCAAAAACATTATGGGTGGAGAGAAAACACGCAAAGAAGGTCTATATGGTAAGTACAAGTGCAGATTTGTTTGAGAGGCTAGGACATGACATATATGGCACACCTTACCTTATTAAAGTTTACGATTGTTTTCATTTTTTAAAACAATTATGATTTTGTGGCAATTGAACAATACACATGAATTGTTGAGAAGGACGAAATCACTTTACTCAACATATCACTAATTTTGATGGCACCCACCAATGCCATCTTCATATTGATGGCCCGTGTAAATACGTCCATCCTATATCGGATGGTATATAAAGGAGCTATCATGAGAACACTTTGGTATAGGATAGTCACGCACACGACAATGGACATCACTCTGTGCGTATGTATGAGCGTTATACTTTGTTCAAAAAAGTTGGCCGTCAACTTGGCAGCATATGCATAGATACCACTAGGCTTGGGAAGGATCAGCAATTCAGTTACCACTCCTCCTTCCCGTGGACCTACTCTACTCTGTGTAATACAGAGAAGTAGGAGACGGGGCCTTCAGAGTGGTGTGCTCAAAGTGATGTAAGACATCAAATTTTCATATCGATGCCTAAATCTCGCAACAATCGTCAAATGTGATGTGGTCTTTACTACCTCCTAGACATATGCTGAAGTAGTTGATCCCCGTTACTTTTATTTATCTCAACATGCGTACATCAGTGGCGGAGCTACGGCAAGGCCGAATGGGCCGTGGCCTGCCCAGCCCATGCGGTTTTCTGCAGTGTATATGTAGTTTTGGGCCATGAAACACAATCCCAACAGTCATTTCCTACAACCGGCCCGTCCAGGTTTTTGGGTCAAGCTCCGCCACTGGCGTACATGCCACCTCATCAACCCACTAATTTTATTTTTCTGAGCATGCAACCCACCTCTCAACAAAGTGATCTAATTAAGCCGATCAGGCACACTGCTACTATGATCATCGTCGTCATCTTATACACCGAGAAGAGCAAGTCTGCTACAGGCCGGAGGAAGGAAACATACGACACGATGAGAACTACTTGCCAGTTGGCCAGTCTTTCAAGAGGGTTCATGCAGCATAACTCCATAGCACAGTCTTTCAAGTTTCAACAATGCATTCTTTTGTGCTAGCAATGTCTCAACAGCAATCGCATATAACACTTGAGTTACCATAAACTGATATTACTCATAAATTCGAATAATATGCGTCTCCCAGAAAGACAATGCTTACAATTCTAAGAATCAAATTGCCGGAGTTGAACATTAACATGGGTAACTAGTAGTAACAACATGCAGTATAACATTTCACAGTGCATACGTAGTACGTTTCCAGGCATCCATCTTGGCCAAAAGTTTTCCCTCCATCTTCACCAACAGGTTTACCTCGTAAACGGTGGACACCGGCGTCGGGCTCCACACGGCCTTGAGAACGCAGTACCCGCGCGCCATCCTGAAGGCGCCGGTGCCGCCCACCACGGCGGTCTCGTAGGGCCCCTCTGAGCTTACGATGCTGCCCACCATAACCAGCGTGCTCCCGGCGTGCTCCCCGGCCGTGAACACGAGGCTGGTCGCCGTCTGCATGCCTGGTGGCGTCACCAGCCCCGCGAAGGCGAAGAGGGACTGGAACCGCCCCACCAGCGATGAGTTGCTCGGGTCTGAGCCGTCGCGTAGCTCGTCGTCCAGCACTCCGACCATCCCGAACATGCTGGTGTTGTCGCCCACGCCCAGCAGGGGCGGCACCACCGCAAACAGCGTGGCGTTCGGGCCCGTGAAGGTCTCGTGCATGTACAGGTGGATGTGCTTGAGCCCGCCGCCGTGGGCGTGGGCCATGCCCCACGCCGCCGTGCTAGCCAGCAGGAAGACGAGGGAAAGCAACTTCCAGTTCCAGGAGGAAGCCATGGGTCTCATGGCGATCAGACCAGACCAACGTGTGTAGGTAGGATCAGTAGGTGTTAATTGCCGGGGCTCGCAGCTCAGATACACCCTGAAGTAATATATACTCTATATATGTGGTGGTTGAAATGTTAGCTATAATGATGCTAGTCGTCTACCTCGATCAGCTTGTTGGCTATCGAGCAAAGCAACCCCACCCTAGTAGTAGATTAATAAGGGGAGGCTTGATCAATGTGTGGTCATCAAATCCTAACTAAGGAAATAATTTAGGCAGCATATTCTTTCAAATAAATTTTGCTCATGCTTTACTTAATAGTTATATATTCCTGCCGATTCAAAATAAAATAAGTGTCATGATTTTAGTTCAGTATCTATCATTAGTTTACTAGCTTTTTTTCTTTTGTTTCGGAAAGGAGAATAACCTCTGACATCTGCATCAGAGTGATGCATGCAGCCAATTTATTAAATCAAAATATGGAAACAAGGTCTCGGGTCCACCAACAGAGTCTAAAAATAACAAAATGCATAAAAAAAAAGCCGCAGCCGGTGATTTTTTTTAGTTTACTAGCTAAATACCCGTACATGTTGATTGCAATCATACATCAGCTGCAAGACGATGTTACGACACCCTAAATCCTTGTAAGGCTTCCTCTCTTTCTCTATAAAAAGAAATATGACCAAGAGTGGTTTGTGAGCTTATCCATCCTGTTAGATACTCATCAAATAGGAATCCATTTTGTAACAGGCTTTCGTGCTCTGACGAATCGTCCGAGATCTTTTTTATGATGTCGTTGCAAGCTGCCTGCTCGTTGATATGAAATTTTACAGGCTGAAATTAATGTTGGCTTCGGTTGATTGGTGTTTTTCTTGGGTAGGACAGGCAACATTGTAGGCATTGTCTGTCGCACATGCCTCTGTGGCAAAATATCACTCACATGGAACTTTCAACCACCACAGCACCACATATGTATTACTTTCAAAAAGGGAGTAGAATCGCCTCAAGGTAATTAAGTATACTTCCTTCGTAAAAAACTCTAAGAGCATTTATATCACTGTTAATGATCTAAACACTTTAATATTTCTTTACAGATGGAGTACCTCTAAGGTAAACAATTAAATCAAACAGTACAACGCCATCAGTATGAAAGCTAGCTCTGTCTCAATGATTGTACTAGAAAATCAAACAGTACAACGCCATCAGTATGAAAGCAAGCTTTGTCTCAATAATTGTACTTCCTCCGTCTCGGTCTATAGGACATGCACGTAGTTTTAGGTTAACAATTTAACTAGCTAAATATGTAGTATATGTGATGAAAAATATATGTTTAAAAACTACATCCGCTTAAATATCCGGTGATATATTTTTGGTGACATATAACACATACTCCCTCCGTCCCAAAAAAATTGTCTTAGATTTGTCTAAATATGGATGTATCAAGTCACGTTTTAGTATTAGATACATCTATATCTAGACAAATTTAAGACAAATATTTTGGTACAGAGGAAGTATTTAATTAGTCAAATCGATGACCTAGAACCACGCGCATGCCCTATAAACCGAGACGGAGGGAGTACTAGAAAATCAAACAGTACAACGCCATCAGTATGAAATCTAGCTCTGCCCCAATAATTGTATAGTACTAGAAGTATGTGGGCACATCAACTTATTGAGAGAAGAAAGCACCACAATTATTTGTAAACATTCTGGCTAGCGATCAATCTATTATCACTTTTCTCGATAGACCTGCTCTGTTGACAAAAATAAAGGTTAACGCCCAAAGGAGTAATTATTTATGGACAAACAAAAGGTTTTGAAGACAATGCATTTTATAACTGTTTAAACGATTGAGTTTCTCGGAAGACTGCCCCTATCATCGGTCTGCCTCAAATTACTCGTAGTTCGGACGTCAGATCAAATATTTAATAGACTAGACTTGAGAGAGTTTTTCTTATAAAGTGCGCCAAAATAGAGATGCCTGAACTAGACCGGAAAGAGACAAGGTCCAAAAGACTCCTCAACCAATTCATGTACGACATCACAAATTTTGTCTCTCTCAAACTCCCATCTCTCTCGCTCTCTCTCTCTGTGAGTGAGTGGTGGCTCCGGTGCTTGCTGGCCAGACTGCGAGAGAGAGAGAAGAGAGAGAGAGGGAGAGGAAGACAAATTGTTGGAATAATTATGCATCTCTGGGATGCCATTAGCAGGAACAGATTGCACCTAGATCACCTCACAAAATGAACAGAGAAGGGTTTAGGGTTTCTTTACATGTCACGGGAGTGGACATGATCGCCTGCTCGGTGCAGGCGTGATGCAGGGGTGATGTAGTCGAAGTAGATGTTCTCCTCGACGTCCTGATTCCTTCAGGACGCCACCGGCACTGCCCAGGGACAGCGGCGGCGGCTGGCTTAGGTCTTCCCGTCGCTGCAGCACTCCCCCTGATCGGATGGGGTGAGAGAATATCGGGAGGAGAGTAAACCTTACGTGAATTGTGATCTCGCAGGTGCCCAGCTCTCTCCCGTATCCCTTTTAATATGGCGCTGGCGACAGGGGACCCAAAACCTGAGTTGGTTTTTGGGCGCCCCCGATCAGGGCGCGTTAGTTCTGATCGAGGCTCACGTACGTTGGTACGTGGACCCCTTCACTTATCGTTATCCCTTTATCTTTTTTTTCTGTTAGACTAATAGATCTAACTGGCCTGTTTAAGCCGTCAGATCAAAACCAACATTCTCCCCCTTGATCGTTAGGCTTAACTTCATTCGCCCATTCTACATAGGAATGATGTACCAAAGTGAGGTGTTACAACAGCTCAAAACGCCATAGAACCTCAACACTTATAGTACACCCGCCTATTTCGAAATGGAAAACATTTTACTAATTGGGGAGTGGATTATTTTAATGGTCCTCTTATTCCAGAATCATCAGGCCTCCAGTAGTCCCATGCCGGCAACATGCTCACGAAAGATACTGGGTGGTAAGCCTTTTGTTAGCGGATTCGCAAGCATATGCTTCGTTCTTATATGTTTAACATCAACTGTTTGATCCTGGATTCTATCTTTCACAACACGATACTTTATGTCAATGTGTCTGGCAGCATTACTTGACCTGTTGTTACTCGTATAGAAAACTGCTGGTTCATTATCGCAGTACAATAAAATTGGTTTAGATATGCTGTCAACCACTTTAAGTCCGGGTATAAAATTCTTTAGCCATACAGCCTGCCCGGTGGCCTCATAACATGCTACATATTCTGCTTGCATCGTAGATCCAGCAGTTAACGTTTGTTTGGAGCTTTTCCACGATATAGCTCCTCCCGCGAGTGTGAATATATAACCTGACGTGGATCTCATACTATCCACACACCCGGCAAAATCAGAGTCTGAATAACCAACAATTTCTAGGTTATCAGTTCTTTTATATGTAAGCATGAAGTCCTTAGTTCCTTGCATATAATGCAAGACTTTCTTTGCGGCCTTCCAGTGGTCCGGTCCTGGATTTGATTGGTATCTGCCAAGCACCCCGGTTACAAAACATAAGTCTGGGCGTGTACACACTTGAGCATACATGATGCTTCCAACAGCTGAAGCATAAGGAACCGACTTCATCTGATCAGTTTCACATTGGTTCCTCGGACATTGAAATGTCCCAAACTTATCGCCCTTAACTATAGGAGCAGGTGAGGGTGAGCACTTATGCATATTGAATTTTTTCAGTACTCTCTCAAAGTATGCCTTTTGAGATAGTCCTAACGTTCCTCTGGACCTATCTCGATGAATCTCGATGCCGAGGACATACGAGGCTTCACCAAGATCTTTCATATCAAAACTGGATGACAGAAAATTCTTGGTCTCATGCAGCATATCCTTATCGCTACATGCCAACAATATGTCATCAACGTATAGGACTAAAAATGTGAACCTACTGCCTTTAAACTTAACGTATATGCAGTTGTCCACAACATTTTCGGTGAAACCAAAAGTTTTGATAATTTTATCAAACTTGAGGTACCACTCTCTTGAAGCTTGCTTCAAGCCATAAATTAATTTCTTTAGACGACATGCTAAATGTTCCTTTCCTTCCACAACAAAGCCTTCTGGCTGAGCCATGTAGACATCTTCTTTTAAGTCACCATTTAGAAATGCCGTTTTAACATCCATTTGGTGTAGTTCCAGGTCGTAATGAGCTACTAATGCCATTATGATTCTGAAAGAATCCTTGGTTGACACAGGAGAGAAAGTTTGCTTATAATCAATGCCTTCTCTCTGTGTATACCCTTTTGCCACTAGCCTTGCCTTGAACCGTTCGACATTCCCTTTGGAATCATACTTGGTTTTGTAGACCCACTTGCAGCCTACTTTCTTAGCTCCATCGGGAACTTCTACTAAGTCCCATACATCGTTTGAGCCCATAGATTTCAACTCGTCTTCCATGGCAACCAACCATTTGGACGAATTTTCGCTTTTAATGGCTTCCTTATATGAGGTTGGATCCTCCACCTTTCCCATATCATTCATGTCCTCCATCAAAAAAGTGATATAATCATCTGATATGGCTTTCTTCCTCTCACGTCGTGGTCTACCCATGGGCGGAGGTGGTGGTGGAACATCATCATTTTCATTATTTTCTCGGAGATCCTCATTTGCGTTTGGATTCTCATTATTAGTTTCTGGATTACCATTCGACTGAGAGACTGAACCGTGAGATTCAGGATCATCAGATGTCACATTTCTTCGTATTGGAAAAACAATCTCTTGGATAGTCGGGGATGGAACACAAACCCGCTTCTCCTCAAGATTGATCTCCCTTAAATTTGTGACCTCATTATCCTCAAAAAATACCGCTTGTCTAGTCTCCACAAACTTGGTGGTGTGTCTTGGACAATAAAAATGATATCCCTTTCCCCTATGAGGGTATCCAACGAAGAAACAGCTAACTGTTTTTGGATCCAGTTTCTTAAGTTGTGGATTGAAAACTCTAGCTTCAGCAGGGCAACCCCACACCCGTAAGTAATTCAAGC